AATTTTGGCTTTTTCCATTAATTCAATGTCAAATCACACATTTTACTCTAGTTTATCTATTTTATTAGCATCAATTTTTCATTTTATATGGAGAAAAGGTACAAATATTACGAATTTAGTTAGTTTTTCTATTTAGAGATATGAACTTTTCAAATTTTAAAATTAAGTAATAAAAATTTTTTATTTAAAAATACAAAATTTACTATATTTTGATTAATATTGTCTTTTCTCATGCCATCATCCTCATCTAATAAATCTTTTTTAAGTAGAAAAATATAAGTTTTGTATCCTTATTTGAAAAAAAAAAGGAGTAAAGATTTATTACCTAATTTAGAAATTAAAAAACTTTATTTTTTTAAATAAAAAATGACAAAATTAGTATATTTACCTACATATTTTCTCTTTTATATGGAAATATGAATAATTCATTACAAATAAATAAGAGTACTTAAAATAAAATACAAAAAATAATTAAAGAATAATTTTTTATTCAATTTTACATATTATTCAATGATTAATTACTTTTCATTTATTAAAATCTATGTCTATAATAATATATAAACTCATTTATTCATATTATTATATAAATTTTATAGATAAAAAATTAAAAATGGTAAAAAAGATTCATCGCATATCATTATATAAACTATAAAGTGTTAATAGAAATATTTTTGTACTGAATAATTTACCAAAAAAATTTTCCTATTGATTTGCAAATCTCATGGATGATGGCATGATGCAATGGAATTACAAATTTACAACATTACTCTCCGTGGTGCCACGTAATTAACGGAAAATTGGGTGAGGCCGTCGGTCCCACGTGCAACGTAATCATTTGAGTTCCACGTGTTACCATATAACTAGTCCGAGGACACCGACAAACTTAGGTGTGGTCCACGTGGATCTTTTCCTCTGTCGTTTTCTTCAGAGTAAAAACGAAGTCAAAATAGTTCCATCGATCTGGAAATCCAGATGTCATAATCCAGCTCCACGTGTACCCGAGATTTGATCCAAACCCTTCGTTTGTATTTTAAAAACCGCTCAATCTGTCTTGTCCGAACGAATCCGAAACAAGAATAAACTGCAATAAACCTGTAAATCCATCTATCCGCTTCTCTCACTCATTCTCAAGTTTGTTCGTATTTTGAATCGCAACTCTTTCGATTATCTCGAAGCAGAAGAAGTCGTCTTCTTCCTCATACCGATCGCCGGGGGAAGTTTTACAGATGTTTGTGAGAAAGCTTGTCGAGAAGGCTTCGATTTCAAAGAAGGTAAATTGATTTCATCTAATATATCTGTACATGTTAACTTCTCTCCGATCCATTTTTTTTGGTTAAGTTGAAGATTTTCGGAAGAACGATCGAACTGGTTCTCTCGATTATTCGATTTCCAGATGTTTCTGAATTAATTTGATTTAAATCTGGAGAGATTAACGTCTTTTGCTCTGATTTTCATTAGTAGGGTCATCGCCGTTACGGTTATATTATGAATATTAATTTTAGGATTTGGTTAGAAGAAAGTAAAGTTTAATTAATTCGGACAAAATTAAGTGGATAACTGTGATATTATATTGTGTCCGAAGAAATCAAATAGTTGGTACTTGCATTAGCTTAACTGCTTAAATTTGATGTGACATGCCTTGCTTTATTTTTCTCTTTAGACTTGTCAATTTTTTCAAAACCAACAGCTTGAATGCGCGTGTTCTTGCATCTGAAATAGTTAATCCTTGGATTCCTTTTTAATCACAGTGATTAAAGGTTATAATTTATTGATTAAAGATTTTTAATCATTTGCCTACAGACCAAGCATCAAGGAATCATGCTCAATTTAAATGTTCTTTGTGTTCTGTCTAAGGCTTAAGATCCAATCTGTTCGTTTAAAATCTTATGAATTGATTCTTTTTTTTTGGGGGGGGCGCGGGGGTGGGGGGGTGGTTCAGGTTTGGTGCCTGAATTTTTTGCTTGTCTTAAAAAAAAATCTAATGGTCAACAAGTCCATGTGATGGTCGGTGTTTTTGTTATTGTGGGGACATAGCATGGACCCACGCGGTTTTAAAGTCATTAGATTGGGTTTTGTCTGTTTGGGGCCCACTGACCAACTTCTTTTAACTGTTTTTTATTTTTTATTTTTTTTAATGTTGGGTGGAACTCGAACCCATATCTTTATGACATGAGAAGTACTTTTACAAGGATGAAGTGGACACTAACCCATAAGAACATTCTCATTAACTGATTTTTATGTTAATAATAATTTTTTTAGTGAGTTAAAGAATTTTGATTGTACAGTTTGTACTTATAATTTGATTCATGCTCATGAGATTGTACAGAATTATGATAAAATCAATATGGCAATACCAGTATTCATAATAATGTAAATATATGCTAGAACTGTTTATCTCCTTCTTTTCACAGCTTTTGACACCATAATTGCTTTTGTGGCACAGCCTGGTGGAAATGCTGATGGGTTGAAAGCCAGTGATGTAGACCCGCGTCTGGTATTCCATTATGGAATACCATTCGGATCCAGCAAGTTTTCTTATGATCCTATTCAGAAGATTCTGGCAGTATCTACAAAGTGAGCTCTCTTTTTAATCTCTAGCATGAGACCAAGGTGCTGTACTTTGATGAATTGCCTTCTAAATTGTTTCATTATGAATGCGCTTAAGTTCTTTAATTGTTATACTTGCATTCGATTTTAATATTCCTTTCATGAACTGATTAATCTCATTTCAGTATTGATGAACATTTATAAAGTTATGACATCTTATATTAAGTGATTGTCTGTTTGTATGGTATGAATGTGCTAAATAGCAATGAGCTGTTTATATACAAATATTCATGTCAGGAGACAGTTGCGCCTGCAGCTTTACCCACATTGGTTAAGGTGCATCAAACTCTTGGCAAAAGCTAGAGTTTCTATCCGCTGCAATAGTAGCCAAATTATCCCCCATCCCCTAAAATTCCCTATGTTTCAAAAAAATATATATGTATATGTTAGGAGATAGTTGTTATTTTATTTGTAACTGAAGGAAACAAACTACTGTTCCTTTAGATAAGCCACCCATGTTTCATAGAGTAACCTAGAAAGATTATATGAATTTATGCAATAAGGTGAAGGTGCAGTCTTTCCAACATGTTTTTCCCTCCACAGGGATGGCCGAATCAAATTTTTTGGAAAAGGTAACACTCAAGCTGTGCTTGAATCCAGTGAGACAGTGCCAAGCAAGTTTTTAGAGGTCATATGTTCCCTTCCTTTGCATATCTAACTATGTTTATATGTAATAATGCTTTAGAAAATGTTCATGTTGCATTGAAAAATTTGTTTCCTTGAAGTTTTTTGAAGTTTAGCAACTAAAACAAATATGATTTTCATCTCCAGTTTATCCAGAATCAAGGCATCCTTTTGAATGTAAATTTCAAGAACCATATTGAGGCAAGTACTGCACCTGATTCACTGTTGGTTTTATTGGATTGGAGTCCATAAGAGTTCTTTATGCTATCCATTCATCAAATTTCATTTTTGAACTTTGTGTTTCCTTTCTACCCCAAAGAAATTAATCTTCCAAGGAACTTATCACTCAGGTTTGGAACATAGACAAGAAGTTGTTGTCTCATGTACATGTTTCTAAAGGAGATATTACCTCTTTCACAGTCATGCAACATGGTCCATACATGTAAGTCTATCTTAACTTTAAAATGGCATGGTATGTCACAAATGTATACTTGTGTGGCCTTTCTAGTAATAACTCTAAAATCACAGGTATGCTGGAGATTCCGTTGGCAATATTACAGTTTTCAAGCTCGACCAGGAACTATGTCATATGGTTCAAATGAAATATACCATACCTTTCTCAGCTTCTCATGGTAAGTTTTATTTCTTTGGAATATTCCTGTTCAGATTCTATTTTTTTTCCGCCAATTGACACTGCATGAAGTATCATACACTGGCACAAGATGAGTATATACTGGGCTGGCTGATATTTTTGTCAATTGATGAAAATGCTTGTTGGATCCTTCAAGGAGTTTGAATGATGAATAGATTTTACCTTGTCTATTGTTACTGAAACAGATGACTTTACTGATCTTTTGTTTAGGAAACTTGACAGAGGTTTCTGGTGATACGGCTGTGACTTATATACTGCCTCAACTTACAGCTGAAAGCAAAAGGTAGTTTTACATTATGTCAATTTTATGTTTAACTAAGCAGTTCAGCTCCTGGGCATATAGTGTTTTTAGCATCTTGGTCCTTATGGTAAGTTTGTGAAGGGCCAACTTCTACCTGGAAGTTCAGATGAACCATTCCAACAGACTATTTAGGTCTTTCTACCCTTTTTGTTTCCCTCTTCTTTAACATGTCATTTGTGTGATTCCCTTAAACATTATTTTATGTGTTACTTCAATGTAGGATTCTGATAATATTCAGAGATGGTGTAATCACATTGTGGGACATTCGAGAGAGCAGATCTACTTTTGTAACAGGTGGAAATATGTTGCAGTCACTAACTCATGAGGGAAAACAAGCAACTTCTGCTTGCTGGGTTTGCCCTTTTGGAAGTAAAGTAGCCATTGGATACAGCAATGGAGAAGTTCTCATTTGGAGCATTCCTACTTCTAATCTGAAACCAGAATCAGCATTGGAGAGTGGCACCCAAACTACTCCTATATTTAAACTAAATCTTGGGTTCAAATCAGAAAAGATTCCAATAGCATCTTTGAAATGGACTTATGCTGATGGAAAAGCTAGCCGACTATATGTCATGGGTGCCTCTGAAGCAGGCTCTATAAATGTGTTGCAGGTATTAGATTTTTTTCATTTCTTTTGTCTAAAATTCATATTCATGTTACAAGATGAAGTAACACTGTAATACAAGCATGGATTTGGTGATACAGGTAATTTTATTGAATGAGCATACTGAATCTCGCAATATCAAGCTGGGACTTCCTTTGTCTGAGGCTTGCTTGGACTTGGAGATCATTTCAAGCACTATTGAGCAAAACAAGCATAAGCAAGATTTTTTGCTTTTGATTGGAAAATCAGGACACATTTATATTTTTGATGATTCTTCAATTGAAAAATATCTTCTGCAATGTCAGTCAAGGTCACCACCCTCACTCCCTAGGGAAGTCATGGCAAAGATGCCATTTCTAGATTCAAATATCATCATATCCAAACTTGTCACAGGCAACCATTACATGCTACATGCAGAAGATGTAAGCTAACTATCTATCATGATACTTTGTATGAATTCTTTTCTTTGTTTTGATAAAATATTTCCACATGAGATATTTTTTCCTCTTGGAAATGTGATTTCTTTGTTTTCTCTGGTCATGCAGGATTATATTATATTGACCAAAGATATCCCATCACCTTTTCCTTTGGAAACAAAATCCAAAGAAGGAAGTCACTTGAACTCAAACCACTTCAATGGATTTTCAGAGATTAAAAACCTCTACATCACTGGACATAGTGATGGAGCAATCCATTTTTGGGATTTATCCTGCCCATTTCCTATACCTGTTTTATCATTAAAGCAGCAGGTAATACATTTTTTTTTAAGATAAAGTCAATAATTATTTAATCTTGGTTGTTTTTGTTTATTGTTCTTACTTTATTCTTTTGTCATGCAGAGTGAAGATGATTTTTCTTTGAGTGGTATACCCCTTACAGCGCTTCATTTTGATGGCAACTCTCGGATTCTTGTTTCTGGTGACCAGAGTGGAACGGTATAAATCCACTACAAAAGGATTCAGTGAAATACAATTTTTTTCCTTGTTTTTTTAAGTTGACAGGCTTTTCTTCCACTGTTTACGTGCAGGTTAGAATCTTTAAATTTAAGCCTGAACCATATGCAACTGAGAACAGTTTTATCTCTTTCCAAGGTATAATGAAGATAACATAGGATTCTTGAAACTTGGCCATTAAATTGAAATTGGGATACTGTCATGCCAAAGTTCTCATCTGCTATATGCATGATCATAATGATATATTCCTTCTTATTTCCTTTTTCTATATTTTTTCCCTTGAGGCAGGAAGCACAAAGAAAGCGAACAATCACATTATCCAAAGTGTTAAGGTCCTTAAGGCTAATGGTGGTTCTGTGCTTTCCTTAAACATAAACCATAGTTCAAAACATCTTGCCATTGGGACTGATCAAGGATATGTAAGCTTATCCTCCTTAACTATTGTTTCCTTTCCTTTCCTTGTATATGAGATTACAGTACCCCTTTGGTAAGTGTTCCAATGTCATGCTGACAGTGAATCAACTAATATATCTAAACTAATATATTTAAACGATTTGCTTTAAATAAGGCCTTAAAGGATTTGCCTTTTGTACCTTTTTTTCAACACTTAACTATGCTTAAAAAGTGCCTAATTGCAAAAAGTATGTATGAATCTCACAAATGTGAATCTATTTCTCCTACAGGTTTCTGTAGTTGACATAGAGGGGCCCAATCTCTTATATGAAAGACATGTTACTAGTGAAATCTGCACAGGCATCACCTCCCTGCAGTTTAAAACCTGCAATTTACTAAACTTTGAAAAGAATCTTTTGGTGGTTGCAACAAAGGATTCATCAGTTTTAGCTTTCGACAGTGATACTGGAAATATGTTGAGTACTAGCGTGGTTCGACCTAAGAAACCCTCAAAAGCTCTATTCATGCAGATATTGGGTAGGCACAACTGTCAAAACATGCTTTCCTTTTGTACTACTAAGGATGTGAACATTCTTGTTTTTGTTTTTGTTTTTTCATTTTTTTTATTTTTTATTTTTACAACACTATCAAACTGTGGGAGAAACTAACCCTTTTCATGCTTTATAGATGGCCAGGATACATTAGTCAGGGGATCAAGTATGTCAACTGAGGTAGACATCACCAAAGGGAGTCCTGTCGAAGATGCAATACCAAAGCAGTCAGTTCTACTGCTGTGTTCTGAGAAGGCTGCATACGTCTACTCCTTTGTTCAAGCTGTTCAGGTATGGACTCTGTTAATACGATAGCTTCATTTGCCAAACAACTTGCTTTTAATTTTCTATTTGACACAGGGAGTCAAGAAAGTGTTCTACAAGAAGAAGTTTCAGTCTGCTTCTTGTTGCTTGGCATCAGTATTCCATAGTGCCTCTGATATGGGCCTTATGCTGGTCTTTGATAGTGGAAAGGTTGAAATAAGGTAATTATTTAATTAGTCTACGATTAGGAGGGAAAATATAATAACATTTTTGAGTAATGTAATGCATATTAACACAATTGTTATGTGAAATCTTAGATCCTTGCCAGAGTTATCCTTATTGAAGGAAACTTCAATCAGAGGGTTCAGATACTCCACACAGAAACTAAATTCTTCATCTGACAGTTCCATATGCTCTTCGGTGGAAGGAGATCTTGTGATGGTACAAATAATTTTATCAGAACCAGTCCGTGTATATTGTTTTAAATAGAGCCCTAGTTTTACACCAACTGTATTTCTTCTTTTAAATGCAGGTAAATAGTGATCAAGAACTCTTCATTGCCTCAGTTTTGCCTCAGAAGGAAAGTTTTAGGTACAAACAAACAATTCATCCCTTTTCTTTTGCTTACTTTAGTTCTGTGGGAGGAGGTGGGGAGATCAGGAGAAACCTTGAAGTGGATTCACTTCTTCATTTGTATAAACATTTTGATGTGTACCTGCTAAATTGCTTTCTTTTTCTAGGCTGCTGGACTCTGTCAGCCAAGTCTACCGGAAAGATCTTTCACTTTCACATGATGACCTTGCCCCTGGACCCACAGTCCAGAAGGAGAAGAAGAAGGTAGATGCCAGACTGAACCATCTGAACTAGCCTGTGACTTTTGTGCAATATATTGATCTTCTTTAAAACGTAATTTGGCATGTTAGGGTATTTTTGGCTCTGTTCTAAAAGGCAGCAAAACCAAACATGTACCTGAGGTTGAGATAGAAGATACTAAAGAAAGTATTGAGGAATTATCAACAATATTTTCAACAGCTAATTTTCAATGTGAGGATGAGACCGGAGATAACTTGGCTGCGGATGAAGATGAAATGGACTTAAAAATAGGTATGCAACTACGTATGTACTTTTTACATACTGAAATGCAACAGAAGATAGCAAATATCATGCATCAATATGAAGACTGAATCTTTTTCCTTTGTTTTCATGAAGATGATATTGATATAGATGATCTTGGGGAGAGGAAACCCAAAGAACAGAACATGTTGGCAGGACTCGACAAGAAAAAGCTGGCAAGCAAACTTCAGGCTTTTACAGGTCAGTGAAGATATGGTTACTGGAGCTTTCTTTTCTATTTCTTCAGGGGAGAATGGGAAAAGAAGGGTACAAGGTAGGGATTAAGAATGCCTAGATGCATTTGACTGACCTAAAAATCTTTCAATATTTTTAGGTAAACTGAAACAGATGAAAGTAGTTAAAAATGAGAAAAGTATAGCCAAAGAAGAGCCACAGGAAGAAAAGACTAATGCAGTGGATCAAATCAAGAAAAAATACGGGTTTTCTTCATCTAGTGTAAGTATACACTCAGTTGCATGCTCAATTGTTTCTCTCAACCAAGCAGGATAAGAGAGAATAATCAATTTCCCTTCACAGGAAACAAGTGTTGCTAAAATGGCAGAGAGCAAGCTCCAAGAGAACTTGAGAAAGTTGCAGGTACAATTTCAAACAATCCCTTTTTTGTATGTGTGTGAATTCAGATGATTTTCTTGGATTCTTCTTCACTAATGCATATAATGCACAATTGGGCAGGGAATCAGCTTAAAAACTACAGAGATGCAAGATACGGCAAAATCATTTGCTTCCATGGCAAAAGAATTGCTGAGAACAACAGAAGATAAAAAAAGCTCATAATCCAAATCTACAATATTAAAATTTTCGATTTTTTATTTCTTTTGTATTTAAGAAAAGTATGTTATTCAAGTTTATTAATGTAATATATCGATTGGAACATATTCTTCTTTATTTGTTTTACTTTGTATTGTGATAATGACTTGTGTACCTATACGTGTAAAGTTTTCATATTATTTCAACAAAATGAAAATGAAATGCACTCGAAGATTCATAAAGTTTGGACAATTTCATGTCTCAATATATACGTAAATTATTCACATCCAGAAGTTCTGCTTCAAGCAGCACATAGAAAGATGAACACAAGAACATTGGATGGAAACTTAACATCAAATACATTAGCTAATGCTTCCTCAGTATATCTACCAATTGGGAATAAATCTGCTCTTTCATGGCATCCCTGTTACTAGGATTTAGAGTGAAAAGGCTTGCATCTGGATGATTCCTCAGCCTTGCAACTGGAGAGTATGCAGACATCTTGGTCAAACAAACTTAACAACAAGAACAAGAGGCTCGTGAATCAAAGTCAAAGAAGAGATTTTAAACCTTCTACTGAGTGCCACTTGCAAGCATGGCAAGTAAATTCGCTTTCAATTTTTCAAATGAAATGTCATTTGAAGTGGGTTTGAAAACGGCTTCAAACTTCTCTTACAACCACAAAACAAGCAATATCACAACTAAAAGAAGTTTGTAGGATAAAAACCATCTTGTTCATTAATTACTACTTGCTCTAATAAATAATGATGAATGAATCCAGAGAATACCTGCAGGAATATCTCGGCCAAATTTTGGAATTGGGATGGAAGCCAAAACAGGGATATTTGATTCTAGAACTTTTAGGACAGCAGGAAAGAATGAAGAACTGTACAGCTCCATTTTACCAACTTCATCGATGATGAGGAGATCAGTGTCTTCCTTGACCTAATAACACAAAAAAAGTCTTTAGCTTTCTTAACCACCATTTCCTTGAAAAATTTGCTTAGCTTAAATCCTAACTCAATAAATTTACAATTTAAAAAAAATAATAATAATCTTAAGGAGAGTTCATAACATTGCACATGGAAAAATTGTTACACAGGAGGGTCATACGGCAAAAGTTTACATGACTGATGACGTGTCACAGATGCAACTTGACATTCTTGTGACCCTTCCATGTAATAATTTCTCCAAGATGGATAGATTTTTGCTATAAAAATTTTGATTTTGAACAAACACTAAAGGACTTAAGGCACAAGACAGGATTTCCCACCCTAAAATATCTATGCGCTATAAATCTCAACTGAAAAATTTTAGCTTACCTCCAACTCAGGCAATGCCAGTGATTCAAAAGATGCAATATCCACTTTGTATTTCCCTACAGTAGGCCATCTAGAAGACTCTGAGCTGCCATTGCAAAAGATGCTTTAGCTGGAGGTAAGAAAGGTAATGAAGAAAATCAAAATGATAGACGATGAGCTAAATATACAAAAAAAGAAGTAACATTTAACAATAATTTGAAAGGACCCAAGTCATCATACAGCTTCATAATAAAGATCATAATCAAGAATCACTGAATTCAAGCATTTATCAATAAAGGCAAAAAATTGCAGAAGGAAAAGAAAGATAGTAAATGAAAAACTTTGAAATGGAGGTGGAAGCTAGTGGACTCTGAGCTAAATGTACAAAGAACTAACATTTAACAATAATTTGCAGGGACCCATATCATCATACAGGTCTCTTAATGAAGACCATAATCAAGAACCACTAAATTCAAGCAATTACGAAGGGAAAAAATTGCAATAGGTAAAGAAAGATAGTAAAGGAAAAACCTTGAGATGGTGGTGGAGGCTAGTGGAGCTCTGCGACCATCTAATGTCACCACCTCGAACCCAACCCTTTCACCTCCTTGTCTAATCTCTCCTGTTTATTCAAATTAAAAGAAGTAATCAGAATGGATGAATTTAAAAATGGGGTTACAGAGAAAGAAGGAGAGAAGGAGGCATACGAGTGTAGAAACCCTGGATTTTGAAGCTGGGGTTTGAGGATTTGAGGCTCTCAAACACTCTCATGATCAGGGTGCTCTTACCCACACCCTGCACATTTAAGGAAGGAACAGATTGAGATCAGTTAGTTCTCTAAGAGGACATAGAGAATAGAGAACGAGATTTCGTACTGAATAGTGCGTACCGGAGGGCCTGTGACTAGGAAACATTTTCCGGGAGCTGCCATTAACTTTCTTCTATTGATTGAAATAACGGTATAGAGGAAGGAGGGAAAACAGAAAGGAAAACGCCGGCGATGGGAAAGGAAAACGGAACTGAAAAGTGGTGGATGCTGGAGGGGCCAAGAGGGGAACAAATTAATGACACTGGAGAGTGGTAATAGTCGAATCGACTGTCTCGAAGTAA